CGGGGTCAGTCAGGAGCCCGCAGTGGAAGTCGGAGTCGGTCCGAATCAGAACAGCTCCATCACGACTCCGAAACACTGGCAGGGGTCCGGTCCGGAGTCGGAGACAGAGTCGGCCGGAGTCATGGCAACGAGTCAGGAATCGGAGTCGTAGTCGGAGTCGGATTTGGCGCCACCACGACTCTGCAACCCTGTTTCTTACCATCATTTATTAGGATAAGCGATTGCAAGACTGACGAGCCGACCTGGTGCTAACGAAGCGACGGGTAGGTACGCCTCGGGAGATGAAGCTTCACGGACGATTTTGCGCACAAGTGCGCAGTCTGCTTTTACGTTCCCCTTACGCAGAATTGAACAGAGATTTATTCTGCCAAAAAGCTCAATGGAGGTCGATGGAGAACTTTTTGTATGTCCAATGAAACATAAACGTAATTTTGCAAATATTGCTGTGGTGACACTGCAAACAGAATGCAATGCCGTTCCTGATTTTGAACACGCATGGGAAAAAGAGTCACTCCACTCGATAGCCAACATAACAAGGATTATTTTGATATATAATAATCCAGTTTTACAACGTCATGGAGGTACTCCACATGCTATCACCAGCGCGGTTGTTTAAACCTTTGACGGCGCACCAAAAAAGCCACTATCAGAAACTTCCGATTCCACGTACGATAATGGAGACTAAATGCGCAACTAAATAATTTTGTCTGCCCAATTCAAAACATTTCATCAATTTCCAACAGAATGACACCCCAAATATACATATATTCCGAAATTGCCCATGGCCATCCGTGAGGCCGTTTCCAACCATAGTGCATTGGGGTGCACGGGCCGTGTCGGTAAATGGCGCCGAGTACCGCGGAGAGGAGGCACGCGCCCCTTGAGCACGTCTCCTGTCAGTTATGGAGCCACAGTTCGGCCGCGTCTCCTGTCAGATACAGAGCCACAGTTCGACAGCACTGGGTGGATACACAGACTCAATGGGCTGGTTTTCAACCGCATTCGAATGTTCACCGTGGCCTACCTGGAGCTGGTTTACCAGAATCACTTTGTTGTTGATTACAAACATACCAACAGCTGTGTATCGGAAGCGGCAGTAGTTACGGGTTCTGGTAAACACTCACGTGTAGTTCATATTTGTTTCCGACAGATGATCTAGGGAAATCTAGTAAACACACGTCAATCCCCGAACGACTGGTGGTGAGGACCGGGAGAAAGTGGCGGACGGCGGCGGCGTGGTGGAGGACCATCACGGTCCACTGGGCACGGAGAGCTCTAATGATCGCTGCTCTGACCGCACACTCCGGCCTGTCTGTCTCTCTGATGGTGGCGGCTGTGTATGAGCTCGGTGTCCACTGGGCCTTCCCCTCTGTTAGGTGTGAGCGGGAAACTTATTGTAAAGTGATAGTTAGGTCAGTCACGGCGCTCGGGTGACCCTGATGGCCGCACGAGCGCACAAACTCGTGCAGAGTTCCCGCTTCATCGGCCCAGCCGACCTCGGGTCGCCGCCAGATCCATTATGTGAAAATTACCAGCGCGAGATTATAAGCACAGTTTTTTATTGCGAGGACTGAGAGACAAACTCAGCGTTGGCTAGCTGAACCTGGAATGAAGCGGAACCTGCACTCCGGTCGGACATCCGTGTTCTCCGGTGCTGCTGACGGGTCCCGGCGCGGGACGTTTGCCCAGCACACCGTGCCGTGGTCCCAGTCGGCTGAGCGCAACCATACATCATCACTGCACGCCCTGCGAGCGCCAGTGACTGAGCACGCGTGCCCAGGGCGTGACCTTCCGACCGAGGAGTGGAGCTGTGGGCTCTCCCACCGCGGGGCAGGGAGCACGTGCCTCAGGGCGTGACCTGGCGAGTGATGTCCTGCCGGAGGTGGTGGAACTTCCTCACGGAATGGTCAGTTCGGGCCTATGGACGGGAAACCGGGCCGGCGGCGGGGACAACCGCTCGGCGCCTGGAGCAACGCTGTCCCACGGATCTTGCGACTCTCTCTCTCTCTCTCTCTCTCTCTCTCTCTCTCTCTCTCTCTCTCTCTCTCTCTCTCTCTCTCTCTTTCTCTCTCTCTCTCTCTCTTCCTCTCTCTCTCTCCCTTTCCCTTTCACACACTCACTGTTTTGATTGGAGGTTTGCCTCGTTATATCACCATCCAAATGATGCCTGATTTTCTTATTTGTCATAAGAGATGTAATTTATTTACCTCGCACTTGTTTCAAATCTCCATATCCTTGTCATCCTGGCTGGGGTTTTCCCGAGCGGATAAGGTCTTTGTAGGAAGGTATATGAGTATATGCTGAAGCTTCGAGTTGAAGCTTCTTCGTTCTGAGTGCTGATATATGATTGGGCTTGAGTGCCGCACTCGGAGCTCGATAGCTAGGGCGCCGATAGCCGTCCTCCGCAGCTCGGGCGGACCTTGAATGTCATTCACCGCTCCACACCCAGCTCTCGAGGAGAGCGCCACCCGTCCCACACAGCGCGCTGCTCGCGAGTGTTGACCCGGCCGGCGCCGCACCCGTTATTAAATCGCAGCCGCGCCCGGCCGGCTGCCGCGGCCGCCGGCGGTCTCCCTAATGAGCCCGCTCGCGTCTCCTGTAGTCGGCGGGCGGCGCTCTCAGCTGCACAGCAGACAGACGGACGGACGGCGCGGCGGTCCGCCGGGAACCGGAGCAGAGTTATGTGTCCGGCCTGGCCGGATGTGGCCGAGTTACGGTGTGCTGGGCTGACCTTCACGGCACAGACGTCTCACACTTCTCAGTGCCTTGGAGAGGCTCGTTCAGTGGGCAGTAGCGGTGTGTTATGAAGGCAGGCGTCTGTGCACCGTGTATTAGCAAGTTCAATGTAACCGTATACACCTACCTTGCTAGGTCTGGCAGCTTGTTCAACGTCCGTTACGCCTGGTGATTGCAAGCCAATCATGTCTCGCTACCGTGTAGAGAGTGAACCGCCTCGCTATACGCCCATATGCACTTAATGCGCACATCAAACAGAAGACATGGTTTCCTCAAACACGGTTCCCTGTCATTTCAAAGAACTGCAGCGTTTCCTTTGTCATGAAGCCGGTGACTGAGGTTCACCGATTGTTACCAGATGTTCTGCATGCAAAAAGTCATGTGATCATGCATCTGCTGCTGGTTTAACCAGCTGCTGGGACTGCGGTAAAACGGTACAGTTCTGCTTAGTAAGCACCGTCGGCATTGTTTGCTGGCAGTGTATTCATGCATCATGCAGCTCGGGATGGCATATGCGCTGTCCGGTGTTTTTTATATATAGTTTTATATCTATATTTATTGGGATTATGATGCAACATGAACACGGCTCCACGGATCACAAGGAGCGGAAGTCTAAGCCTCGCTAATGTGTTTCCACGGTTCTCCCACCGTGTTCTCGTTTTACGATCCAACTCTGTCTTATGGGACAGTTCGAGCTGTGGTCCGCATCGAGCGTTCCCTCGGTAGGCAGTGATGTAACCGAGCACTTTCGACGGGGAAGCGGCGACAGACAGTCTCTCCACTCAGGCATTCTCTCCACTCTTCACTGAGCATTGCTACGGTCTGAGAACAGCCATCAGCGCCGTGGGACCGGTCGGTGCGCGATGACCAAACACACGGACCTCACAGTCGGAGACGTGATCCTTTCATTTCTACCGGCTCAGTGACGAAAACCCAGCGTGCCGTGGGAAGCCGATAGAACAATCTCTTGGTGCGCATAATTTGTGGTGTGTTTTATATTGTTCACAGCTAATTAGCATTCCTCGATACCTATTGCCGTTTATTGGTTTCTCGTAGTCGTAGATTTATCTACGACTACGAGAATTTAAAGTTTAACCCTCGCACGACCAGGCCATTTCTCATAACACGAACGACCAGGGGGGGGGGGGTTGTTACGACCCCCCCCCCTGGCGTTTCGAAACGGAAGGTCGTAGAGCTTAGCGGAAAAAACCAACGGATTGCTCTCAACGAGATCTCGCGATTGGTGGTATATTTTTTGGTCCTAGGTCAACATTTGACCTACTTATGACCGGTCAAAGGTCAAATTTTCCGAAAAAATCAAACTTTTTCAACTTTCCGCGGCGATTGCGGCAAAACGGTGGGAGATATCGACTTGAAACCTTCACTATCGTGTTCCTTGATCAATTCTCTATCGTTTGGTATGTATTTCGTTTCCCTAGCTCTAAAAATGGCGCGTTGGGAGCGCCGGAAGTCGGCAAGGTCACAGTCGGCGGCAGAAATTCGAAAAATCAAAATTTAAATTTTTGAAATCTGATTGTATTTTTGGATTTGGGAGGTCCATTTGCTCCCTATAGAAGCTAATATTGCTGCATATTCCCATTGAGGTGACAAGAATTAGCAAAATAGTGGTTCGGGCGCTTTTCAAAAATAGTACCGGACGCTGTTCCTCTTGTGACGTCATAGCTCCGTGACCTGACCTGACCCGGTCAATTTTCTTGCACCACACGATAGCCAATGCTTGCCCCAACATGCATGGGAAGTTTCATCATGATCCATCAAACAATGTGGGTATCACCGGCAGAAAACCTAGGGATTCGGCGCACACGTTTGGTAACTGTCGGCCGGAGGCTGTACCTCTTATGACGTCATAACTCCGTGACCTGACATGACCCGATCAATTTTTTTTCGGCAAAAGATGCGCAAAGGTTGCCCCAGAGGGTATTGAAAATTTCAGCCCGCTACGACAAGCCGTTTAGCGTGCACTTCGAAAAAACCTCAGGGGGGGGGGGTTGATACAACCCCCCCCCCCTAGGCGTTCTAGGGTTAATCTAAAAGTCATGCAGCATGTGCCCATATGGAAGCTCAAATTAGAAGTCTTCCCATTACTTACCTAGATATGATTAAAGCTTAATGTAATGTAGCATTTGATTTACCGACAAACACCACTTTTATTTAGTTACTTTATACTCTATCATATTCTTTTCACACGATCTCGCCCAACAATCCAATTCAACTACATCTATGTAGAGTACGCGACCACTTACCTGAACTCTCCGTGATTTGCCGCCAGATTTCGAGAGTTCGCGCCACAGCTCGCGCGAGCGGGACCGCGCCGGGAGCGAGGCGGCCACCGACGACGTGTCGTCCACCTCGTCGGAGAAGTACGAGCGCGATGTGTCCGTGCTGAACCACTGCTTTGACGACATCGAGAAGTTCATCGCGCGGCTGCAGCACGCCGCTCAGGCCGCCAGGGAGCTGGAGAAGAGGCGAAAGTGAGTGTCCGCGGGCCGGAAGCGCGTGGCATGTGTCTAATTCCCACCCAGCTTAGGCGAATATCATTGTGCGCGCAACATTAAGTTGTTAAAGTGGTACAACTTTTCTTAAGATCTCGCAAGAAGACTTGTAACAAGGTTTCTTATGCTCAAACTCACAGTTTACCAAAACTAAGTCAAACCGTCGACTTATATCACTCGAAAAACAGAGCCTCCAGTGATTATGACCGCCGTTCGCTGATATACCATGGGAATCTGCTGTGACGCGTAGCTCGGTTCGATCAGTCACGATACATCGGAGCCTATTTACGGGCTAATTTGCCTGCTCTCTGGGAGCGGAGACGGTGCGGCGCTCCGTGACGCCTTTGGCGGACGGTGGAGCGAGTCAGGACCGTTCCCCGAGCGCCGCCGCCGGGTGAGCTGGGCCGTGTCGGGCCAGCCGCGCGTGTACCGCCGCCCCGGCCCGTCTCCGGGGGTTCATCTCCTCCCGTCACCGAGTGGGTCATTAGTGGGACTCTGAGCGCCGCCGCCGAGACGGCGCAGCACTGAGAGCGGCTGTGCGTCGGTGCTCGGTCAGCGGAGTAGGCGCGCCCCCGGCCCCCGGCGCTCGCGTGCACCGTGACCCGCGCGGGCAAACACGGCGCGCGCGCGCGGAGGGCGCTGATTGGCTGCGCTCTCTGGAGCGTGTCGCGCCCGGCGATTGTTACGGTGCACTGAGCAGAGGAGCCGCTGCACGAAAGGACAGGGCGGCAGCCACGACCATGCTGAGGCTCCTCAGAGAACACTGACGATTGTCTGGTGAACGAGCGATGTAGTGAAGTCGTGTGCAACATAGGCAACAGGGATCTTTTACGCCCGAACACGGAACAATGCACACGTCTTGAGGAAAACACAGGATGTTCAGAGCATGTGCACTGTGCCATCGTATGAGCCTCCACAATACAATGCACATTACATGCATGAAAGCAAGACCGGAATAGTGTGCCCGCGGCGACAGGAAATCTGCACGGGCCCGCATTATCCACGACCGGCGTCGGCCACCGGCCCTGTTGTGTAACGCATCACCCGATCGCTCGTTCAGGCATGCACGTGCAATCATTACCGGCCGGTGGCGACCGTCGGCGGCTCCGTTCTCTCCCGTTTGGGAGTGCGAGACATTTCAGAGCCCCTGTCAGCTCCGCGCAGTGAAAGCGGAACCCCTGATGTCATTCGAGTTCGTATGTCCAATGCAAAGCAGCGGCACAGTGTCACCACCGGTTACCATTCAGCTTTATGTAAATGCGGAAGAATTTGCAGAGCTGAGTTCCTACTTGGCATTTATGTGATCTGCTCGACGTTTCCACGCTGATACCTTGGGGTCGAACAGCGACACCATTTTATTATACATATACCTACCTATGTGAATGGGACTCCCTAAAAGTTTCGTAGGTATGTACCCTGCTTCGACTGAAGCCGCTGATGCGAGACAGTAGTCAATAACTTAATATTTTTGTGAAATTAATTTGAAAGCGTATTTCGTTAAAAAAAAAATGATTTAGAGCGCCAAAGGAAGACTTAGCCTTAAAAGCTGTGCGCTTATTCCTTCGAAATACTAGCACGGCGAGCAGCATAATCACTCTGACTCACCTTTTCAGATCCCACAAGACGAAGAAGAAGGATCTCGGAGAGGGCATGCTGTCAATGCGGGCCAGGCCCCCTCCGCGCAGAGATTTCGTGGAAATCCTGCAGAAGTTCAAGCTTTCCTTCAACCTGCTGGTAGGTGATGGCTCCATCCAAGGCCGTGCTCAATCAAACTGTGATTCACGGCTTGGTGAAAACAAACACTAGGTCAACACTCTCTCAGTAATTGGTCTTGGTTTTCCAGATGAATATCCTTAAACTCAGCTTTTGTAAGTCGCAGCCGACCCCCTTTCGTAACAGGAAAACTGTACGTATAAATAAACTAGACGGTATATCGAATTTTTATGTGTGCAATGAACATTTAATACTTCAAAGCGCTACAAGTATTACCTACTATCTCAGATTTCTTTTTACTTTCCACTTACCCTCGGTCATTCGTCGGCATTGCCAAGCTACGCTACGGTAGGAAAGCATAGCTTCCAGCAGTCTAACTAGGGAAAGCCGGCACAGAGTCATGGGATGGATGATACCGATCAGGGATCTGGTAATTGTATACGCGCCACTGCACCGCCCTCTCACCGTTACCGATCCCGGTACAGACAGACGCTCTCTCGACTCTCTTCCACCGATCCGATCACCTTTCCCCTGGAGTGACCCTGCTTAGTTCTTACTCTCTTCCTCGGAGAAAAGTTCCACTATCCGCACACCGTGACGGCATGGGGGCTCCTGGCACAGTCCTCTGCCACAGCCCTGTGTCTACTCGGGCCCGCTGGACGGTCACTTTCCCCGCCTGTATACGCTGAGTGACAGCAGAGAGTGAGACAGTGCCGATCCTGACAGAGTGTGAGAACGACGGAACACGAGATAGCCGTGAGTCGGTGTGAGGCAACAGCGTGCGAAACTGACAGCGGACGGTGACAGCGCGCTCCAGGCCTTCGTATGCCAACGCATTATAGACGGCCAGGCGATTGATGAACTGCTGGAGGACGAGATATGATTAGGGCCTTCACAGCAATCAATCACAAACAAGACTGAATCGTTCGGATAGAGCGAGACAGACTCAAGGCCAGCGAATCCTCGCTGCTCTCGCCGTTAAGTTCTTTGGACATTTTTCTTCGGCATCTACTCTCAGACGCAACCAAATAGGAAAACCAAATGCTAAATTGTATTGTTGAACGCAGGGACACTGTTGTCTGTTATGCTGGTGTCACACGAGGCTCTAGACCCGACACCGAAATGTGACCTCCACCCTCAGGCGAAGCTGAAGGCGCACATCCACGACCCGAACGCGCCGGAGCTGGTGCACTTCCTGTTTACGCCACTGGCGCTGATTGTGGACGCGTCTCGCGACTCGAACCACGGCGCCAACCTGCCGGCCGAGGTCGTGGCGCCGCTGCTCACACGCGACGCCATCGACCTGCTGGTCAACTGCCTGACCAGCAAGGAGTCCGAGCTGTGGCACTCGCTCGGCGAGGCCTGGTGCCGGCCCAGGTCAGTGGTTGGGCCAGCAGGTCGGTGAGATCACACTGGTGGTAGCGTTAGCTGTCACGAGTTAGCTGGTGACATCCGACAGCCAGTGTCCGTCATTGCGACAGGTCGTGTCGATGTCAGTGCGCATGGCTCATTTGGAGTCAATCAGCCGATCTCGTCAAAGGTGTCTATCTGTCAAAGGGGTTTGTAACTTGGCATATTTCAAGCCAAATTTTCTTTACTTGTTCATGATATCATCAATTTTACTTATCACTCAGCTTGAGTTAGTCTCACCGATTGTCCCTGCGTCCCTGGAATGGACATTGACAGCTTGGTGCTAAGCTGGCATGCTAAAAATGTTCAGTGCCAAAAAATAATAATTCCACCGTACCGACTTAATGTCTAGGTCAGCACTGTCGCAGTCTGTGCCAGTCTGACCGACCATTTCCCCGTCCGTCTGACGGGCGCCTCCCCGCTAATCCAACAGAGACCAGTGGGAGGGCCACCTGCCCGTCTACAACCCCGTGTTCCTGGACGGCTGGGCGCCCGACCTGCGGGACGACGAGCGCGAGCGCAGCCGGCGCGCCTCCTCGGCGGCTGCCAGCGAGGCCCAGCGGCTCCGCGCCGACAAAATACGCCGCGCAGAGCACGAGGTAACCAACGAAAATGGACAGAACGGCATTTCCTCTACGACCGGCCAATTCTCGTAAAGCTCCGAAACTTTTAACATCCCGTACTCATTTTGATACGACGGCAACCGTCCCGGCTCATGCTGATATTTCCTCCGCTAGATGACACTAGTAGTGAGCGCCTGAAGGTAGACTGTACCGCAGCGCTTCAAACACAATACAGGGACTTTAGAGTGTTATAAAGACTCATTCTGTCCTTCTGCCGTGAATTATTTGTAAATCCAGTGACATTCTCACTCGCCATGTAACTCTGCTCAGGCGGAGAGGCGCGAACTGGCGTCCCGAGATGACCGGTACCCGGACGACCGGTACTACGACTCCGACCAGCCCAGCCTGCCGTCCCCGTCCAGCCACGGCGGCTACCGGCGGCCGCAGCGCAGCAGCCGCGAGGAGAGGTCAGACACCGGGAGACGGTCGGGAGACACAGGGAGACGGTCGTAAGATGGAGAGAGACGGTAGAGGGACAGAGGGAGACGGTGCTGAAAGACATGGAGGCGGTAGGAGACAGAGGGAGACGATTGGGAGGGACAGATGGAACAACCGGACACGGTAAGAGGACAAGGGGAGACAAAGAGACAGAGGGAGATGGTTGGGAGACAAAGGGAGATGTTCGTGAAATAAAGGGAGACGGTGAGTAGATAGAGGGAGAAGGCCAGAGACAAAGGGAGACGATGGCGGGACGAGACACGGAAACGGGAGAGACACAGGAGACGGTTGGGGACACGGGAGGATGATGTACGGTAGAATTGACGCAGTGGCTATTAAATCATAAATGTACTTCCAGCATACATCCATATGAGTACCGAATACCGGGATATTTATCATGTATGGAATTGGACATCAATATAGACAGGTACAGATTTGCACACCACCCGTGGCTCGTTTGCCATGCGTTCCTTTGTCGAGGAGGTAGGTCACACTTGCTGCCGCAAGTGGTGCGCTGTCTGGGAGGCCATGACAGCGTGGCACGGGGACCATGCTTTGTGGCTGGTCCGCCCGCCCTCCTGTCTGCCGGTCTGTCTGTCTGTCTGTCTGTCTGTCTGGGGACCTTCAAACTCAGCTGTGCCCGTCTGTCGTATCTGGGACAATGACCGTGCTGTATCACTCTGCGGGGCTGTGTCGCTAGGTAGAACTCACGCCGATTTTTTTTACACGACACGACAATGACACGACACGAATCTGAACTGATCTGATCTGAACTGTGACCTCCTCAAACCCCCTCCGGCACCAGCCAGAACTCGTTTAGAAGTGTTTTTAGATGATTACTCGCTCTCTCAACTAGTGATTGGCCCGACATTTACCTCTGGATCCCTCTTAGATGTTCTCATTGTCAATCGTCTTAACGTAGCAACGCCGCGCCGCAATAAACACTGTGATTTTAGCCCACATCGCATCGTTAGTTGTAGTCTCAGTGTGCCGCGCCGTCCACGATCGCACACTGTAGTGTCGCGGTCACGCCCACTCGCTAGGATAGACTCGGGTGCGTTTCTGTTCGATTTACAGTGCTGTGACTGGAGTGACGTTTTTACATCCGAGACGGTCGATGGGAAGTGGCGAGCTTTTTTATCACTCTACATACCTGTTCTGGACAAGCTTGCCGATACGGAGTCGCAGGGTTCACAACCCATCTGCCCCGCCGGTCACGGCCGCCACTAAGGACCTGATGGCGAGCCGCCGCGGCGCTCTGCGCACCCTCGGCCGTGACTCGAGCGAATACCGCGATTTGAACCGATCTGTCCGGTCCGCCATCCGCCGCGACACGCGCCTGGCCATAGAGTCCCGTATCAGGGAGCAGGGACCCCACACCGTGTGGCGCAACATTCGGAGTGTTGTTGCTGGCCGGAAGCGAGATGTCACCTCACCACAGCTATCACCGAGCGCGCTGAATGAGTATTTCGTGTCTGTCGGGCCGAGGGTGGCGGCGGAGGTGGCCGGTGCGGCCGAGCACGCGGCAGACCTGCCCTGCCGTCTGCCGCGTGTGGGGGCCTGCGGCTTCTCAGTCTCTCCCATCGACCTCGACACGCTGACGATCGCGCTGTACAGCATGAAGAACTCGCCTGCGTGCGGATCTGATGGTTTGTGTACTCGTGCTCTGAAGGCTGGCTTCCCCGCCGTCGGCTATGTCATCCTACATATCATTAACGCATGTCTCACCCAATCCGACTACCCTCCAACCTGGAAACATTCGCTCATTCACCCCATCTTCAAGACCGGCGACCCATCCGATCCTTCCAACTTCCGTCCTATTTCCATCATCCCCACCATCGCCAAACTAGTAGAGCGCGTTGTCCAGCGGCAGCTTTACCATTACCTATCCTCCAACCACCTCCTATCCCCCAGCCAGCACGGTTTCCGTCCGCGCCATTCGACGGAAACCGCGCTGGCTACCGTAACCGACCAAATCCTCACAGCTGCCGACGGCGGGGAGATCACCCTCTTATGTCTTATTGACCTGAGCAAGTGTTTTGATATAATCGACCATGACATTTTACTTCGGAAACTCGAGCTGCACGGTGTGGATGTTCAGTGGTTTAAAGCTTACCTGACCGGCCATACCCAGAGTGTGTCACTCAGAGACCACACTGGAGCTGCCAGCGTCTCCCCGCCGATGCCGAACTCGATGGGGGTTTTCCAGGGGTCTGCCCTGGGCCCCCTCTTGTTTACCGTGTTTGCAAATGACATGTCACTGTTCGCTGCGGGTGCAAGTGTCGTGCAGTACGCTGACGACACCCAGGTGCTTGTCTCTGGCAAAAAGAACGAACTTTCGGCTGTTATTCATAGCATGGAAAACTCATTGACTGCTTTGGATCAGTGGTTCTGCGCAAACGCCCTTAAAGTAAACGCAAACAAAACACAGCTCATCACTCTCGGAACAGGTCAAAATTTGCGCGGCCTTCCAGACATCAAAATTGCCTTCCGCAACACTGACCTCGTACCTTGCCGCGAGGTAAAAAATCTTGGCGTTATTTTCGACCAGAAATTATCATGGGACAGTCACGTGGGTGTCGTCGGCAGGCGATGCAGCGGTACTCTTGTCGCGCTGTCACATGTCCGTCACGTCCTGCCTGTCGGTGTCATCAAGACACTTGTAGCCGCCTTGGTTCTCTCGCAGGTCACATACTGCCTTTCCGTCTACGGCAACGGCACTAAGAAAAACATTGACAGAATTCAAAAGGTACTGAACTTTGCTGCACGAGTCATTTTTGGAAAGAGAAAATTTGATCATGTTAGTGACCTGCGCGGGAAACTTGGCTGGCTGCCCGCTCAGCACATGGCCGACCACCGTACACTGTGTCTGGCGCACAAGGTGATTGCTGGTGGCGAGCCCGAGTCACTGGCGGCTGCATTCGTGTGCAACGGTGACCGGCGGTCCCGGCGCACGAGGCAGGACGGGCAGCTCTACGTGCCGAGGTCCAACACCGAGACCGGCAAGAGACGCTTTTGCTCGAGGGCACCTGCCCTCTACAACCGGCTGTCGAGTGACCTGACACCGCTTAGCCAGCAGCGTTTTTCACGTACCGTGAAGAGACGCCTGCTGGATCTCCACCGAACGTGACCGTTCCGACAGCCGTGGCCGCCACAGCACAGGGGTAGCCCTGTGTACCGTGTATGAGTGCGTGTGTGTGTGTGTGTGTGTGTGTGTGTGTGTGTGTGTGTGTGTTCTTTTTTATCCATGACAGCGACCATGTTTGACTCGGAGCTTAATAGCCACACTTTGAGTGGACCGCTCTACGATGGCAAATACAAATACAAATACAAATACAATGTGAATGTTTTTTTCTTGAACACCTGTCATCTCTTTTTTCTAAAACATCACAAAACAAAACGCTTACCCGAACAGATCGCTTTGGTGCTTCCAGTTATGTTACCCATGGAGAGAACCCGTCCTCAGAGTGTGTGGGGCTCCCTCTGTGCCTTTAGTGACGTCATCTGTGTCCCCAGGGAGCGAACCCGCACCCCGTCCTCAGAGCGCGGCGCTCTTGGTGTCCGCAGTGACGCCAGCGTGGACTCGGCGGGCGCCGGCGGCTTCGAGCGCCAGCAGAGGCTCTGGTACGACGACCTGAAGATGCGCGGCGTGCGCATCGTGCAGGTCACCTACCCGCGCACCGCCAACAACGACAAGGAGCTGACGCTCACCCGCGGAGAGTACCTCGAGGTGAGGGCTGCGCGGTGGCGGGGGGGGGGGGGGGAGGGGGAGAACTGGGCAGGACGTGGGGACACGGGGCATGCATACATACATTAGTTGTTTGTTCATTAGTCGTTTGTGTTCAGTATTGTTTGTTTTGTGTGGAAACAGTGCAATTAAAGTCGAAGACAAAGCTCGAAGCTCAAGCTCAATCAGTGCGTAATTGTGCTAAATGAGTTTTGAGGCTCACTCGAATGACGACATCGTAGCACTTCCAAACTAATGTGGTGTAATCTTGCCACAACAATCGCCTTATTCGCCGTCGTCTTTTTATCTCGATGGGAAATACCTCTGAACCTAACACAACCTCAATTGTTCTGCGACATTCCGTCATTATCGACTTCACCTCGAGTCTCGCGTCTGAAGCCGGCTTTTCATCTCATCTGACCTATAGCGACCCCGTGTGACCCCCGGCTGACCTGTGACCTGTGACCGCTGCGGCAGGTGATTGACGACAGCAGGAAGTGGTGGCGGGCCAGGAACAGCCGCGGACAGACGGGCCACGTGCCGCACACCATCATCACCCCGGTCGGCGCCGACGACTCGGTCAGTGCAGACGCAGTGGAACCCGTCAAATGCTGAGATACAGCCGACTAGCGCCAGTTGGCAACGTGCTGACATAGCCATTGATCGATTGGTTATCTGTCCGTAAACTTGTGAGCTTACCTATATATTTTTAGCTTTCCAAGCTCGTTATTATACTTTTCGCTGTAAAACACGCCTTAACGACTTCCGGGGCATTCCACGTCAAGTGAGACAAAAAATGACCATTTTGAACCTCACCTCCTCCGATTTTTGCGAAACTTTGTGAAACTACTCATCTATATGTGAAAAGAAAGGAGACATGTTTTTGTCAAGATATGACGTCACGTTTCCGAGATACACGTCATCAAACATTGACTTAGGCAAGGCACATTATCATCTTTAAAGCGTCATACCCATTGAAGTTTTAGACATATCACCATGAGACAAAGTGTGAAATGGAGGGAATAGATCAGGCTTTAATTTGAGGATAACAATATTGACATAATTAGCTAATTAATGAACTAAATTAAAATTCAAAAAATAAATTTTGATTTTCTGAAAAATGGGTACCCTTCGATTTTGCTGATTTTTACATATTTCATCCTCCCATACATCAGCTATATCATATAAAAAATCCAGAATGGGCCGACGTCTACGTAACTGCCTTTTGGACTTCGGAATGTCTGGCACTCGCGAGTTTCGTTTTAGCAACCAAGGAGAGGCGCTACCTGGAGATGCTTCTTTCTGCCCCAAACCAAAGCAAACCTAGCCTGACCTGACGTGACCTGACCTAATCTAACATGCGTAAATATGTACAGCCCTCACGGCAGTTGCCAACTGGCCAAATGCTACTTAGATACGAACATTAGCCCTCACGACATTTGCCGGCTGGCCAGATGCTACTTAAAAAACGAATGCGTGTTTAAACACTTGAGGCTAACCGGCCACGAGCCAGCCACCTTTAGATTACGAGGTGGGTACACTCGGCACACTAACTACTAAGCCACGGAGATAGCTGGTCATCGCGGAGATGTAAGCCAGTTTTTTTTAATGATGCAATTGGGCATTCTCCGGGCAGCGCCTCTCTTTGGTTGCAAAAAGGAAATACGCCTGACTCTCCCAGCGCTAGGGGAGAAAGGCCCGGTTTAGCCAAAAAAGGTATAAAAAAACGGAATTTGAATTGTAGGTGGGGCGGTGGGGAACTTTATCGTGTGCCAATTTCATGGCCCTAGATCAATATCTTCAAGATCAAATGAGGTTAATCGTGATGAAATTTGCTATGGTGACTATTTTGCGTTTGTACGCCCATAGCTCTAAGAGTTACTGGCCGATTTTCCTATTTCTTCTTTTTTACGACATTTGTAGTGTTATGAGAATCTTTAGATAATCTAACCATAAATTTGGCAGTTAGTGGCCTGCTAAGAGTAAGATGTCGCCGGCAAAGGCGCGGGGATCGGCCGACGCGGGAAACGTTTCAGTCACAGATTGTGTTTGCACCCTAATAATTCAATTTTTACCAGTTGGTTTTCGTATTTATTTGACCATTAGTTTGCCTGTACATTTTTAAGCCTTCACACAAAATTTGACACGAATCGATCATAATCAGCGGTAAGAAGCGCAGTGCAAAGATGGAACCGTCCGGCGCCGGCACAGTCTACCATTCAGGCGGCAACGGCCGACGCCGGCCGCCGCGCCGCTCCGGCAAGATGTTTGACTTTACACCGCTATTACTAGAAAAGTTGTGGACCGATTTACCTATTGCTTGCACAGGAGGATTTGAAATTCAATTCTGGACAGATGCTGAAAGTTTGACGTTAATATAATAGTTATGGCGTGAGTTATTGGCGAAAAACAGGTGGGATTGGCGAAATCCGCCCCTTCCATCGCCCGTGCTACGTTGCACTACTTGTTGCTATATCATCCAAAGTTATCGTTGGCCCACTCTAATTTTCTCAGCACGTATGCCTTACGTGTGGTGGAAGATAATGTCCAAATTTGAGCAAAATCGAAGGGTACCCATTTTTCACAAATTAGATTTTAAGAAATTAATTCAAAATAAAATAAATTCAAAATCACCAAAAAATGTTAAAATTACCAAATTTAACTAGCATAACTCCTTGTGTTCACGTTTCCGTTTGTTTGAAATTAATAGCTTCAAAAATGTTGAAGCTATAGATCTTTCAAGATTGCAATACACGTCCCATTCTGCTAAAAAAGCAGAAGTTTAGCGGCTTGTATCTCTGTAGCCCGAGGGCATATGACAAAATCCTTTGACCCTCAGAGGTTTCACCCAATAGCCAACAAGTATACCAAGTTTGAACAAAATCGCAGAGGTGGCCGATTTTGGCTGTCCCGGTTGACATGGAATGCCCCTTCCGTGACACTTATACAAGAAACACGAATGTCACGAATGTACATAATTACGATCTTCACGACTTCCATCCTCCCCACCCTTTTTATAGTTCCCACATATTTACTGATAAGAATGAAAGATTAAAAGAAAACTAATAGGTATAAATAAACACTTTGTAAGGCAGCTTTATATATCGTTTTAAATAAAATGACATTCTTCTTTTTTTCGGCAGGACCCGGCGGCCTCCGCTGACTGGGCAAAGAAGGAGAAATCAGGCAAGAAAGGTGATTTGCGGTACATGTAGTGGTGGTTGTCTGCGGCTTGTCGGTCCTGTGACGTCACGCACAGCTCACAGAATGTCCGGCGCACCGTGCTTTTGACGTCATTGGTGACGTCATCACTGCGTCACTGCGGAGCCGAGTGTGTCATGTGCTACGGTCAGTTTTGTGAAGCAAAACGGACAGAACTGCGAGCATGCCTGGTCGTGTAAAGTTGTGTCAGCATTCATGTTTTGCTGGTTGCTCATATAATGACGGTATGACTGCAATGGCGGTATAGAATGATTTAACAGCTGATGTGTGTGTAGGTGCTCGCAGTTTTGTCGTTCCGTCCGCTTTGCGAGCCCCGCCAGCCGTCCGTTCGTTGACAATGAGTGCTTCATTGTCGCGTTTGTCCGTCCGTCCAATCGTCCGTCCAGAGCTAGGGATACCGTCCGCTATTCTACCGGTTCCCCAGTCCGCTCCATGGCCTTTGGGTTATGCCGCTCCCCAGCCGGCTGAGCCGCCGGGTACCGTTCAGCGTCCGCCGACAGGACCTGTGGATCCAAACAGGCGCAGCAAGCCGACCATGCCAGTCTGAAGTCAAAACAAAGATAAAACCCGTTTTATTTTTTAGTGTTTGCTAGCTGGCTAGACAGCTTGAGGGAAATAACTGGACACAACGATGTGAATGACAGTGTGAATGCGAATGCATGAGTGTGACCAGCAGATGGTCGAGCTTGTAAATATGTTAATTGAAGGCTAATATTTAATGATTATTTCTCTCTATCCGACGGCCTTTAGTCAGCTGACAAATCTGGTCAGTATGTGAGAGATCTGCGCTAGTGTGTGAATCTGTGAATGGCCAGACAGGACGACGCGATGCATGCGACATCGCAGAAATATTGCAGTGCCGGCTGCCACGCCGCCGGCAAGCTCGAATGCTTCGGCAACCAGTCGTTTTCGTCCCCTGTACAGAACCGATGCAGTGCTGGTCCATTGTTATTGATGCCCTCCGTCTCTGCTAATGCAATGCTGATGACTGGATCATACAACCGATTCCTTGTCCTTTTCTTGGCCCATCTGTGAACGCTGAGCAGCAATGCTCGCTGGTGCCGTGCGAAGTCCCTTTCTGTCTGGCTATACATCCGGTTGAACTTTTCCCCTTGACCAGATGACCAAACCACAATGGCGGGGTGTGCCAGACAGAACACTTGAGCCCGTGACGCCGAAGTTTGGCCTTGTTGTCGAGAACCGTATCTCCCCGAGTTGCTCCGCGCCAACCTTCTCCTCTGGTCTGTTTGTGTTGTTTGTATATAAGAGTGCCCGCGCGGGACAGAACAGTTTTCGGATGTTGTGTGTTTCGGAGTCGACGGAGTGTCGCAAAATGCTGGGCCGTCCGACGCTCGTCTGTCATGCCTTTTGTTAATATCGACTATTTTCATGAGAGCGTATGTCCAAGTCCTCATTGGCTGAATGCTGCCTACTTTAATAGCATGGCTTTCAGGACCAATAAATACAAGCTGAGCCTGCCTTTCGTTTTACTGCCTCTCCGACGCACGAATGAATAAGTCCACAGCAACGCCATTTTAAAAACAAATAGGTGATTTGCAATTATAGACTGAAAACGAGAAAAAATGGTATTGCTTTAGGGAAAGGACTGTTCTGGTATTTTCCGTCTATGTTAAGTTGCACTGTGTCCTAATTTGTTTTGCTTCCGTTCGGGCGTGCCTTTGTCACAGCACTGCTTGCTTTGGGTGTCGTACTTAAATCATGTGGAGCTGTAGCGGAGCGACCTGTGATTTGCAGCTGGTGCCTGGTGGACCCATTCAGGTATGTATGGTAATTGGCTGTCCTCGTTCATCCTTCATCGTTTTCGTTCATTCAAACGTTCATCCGTTCATCCTTCATTCGTTCATCGTTCATCCGTTCATCCTTCATTCGTTCATCGTTCATCCTCTAAGAGTGAAAAATCCGTATTATCATGACGGCTGTTATTCAAAGAATGAATGCATTAAAGAATAAAGTCTCGATCTTATTTTTATTAGGTCATGCTAATTCTTCGAGACGCTTAGAGTTCGAACATTAGACTGAAAGTAAACCTACACGCATGATTATTTTCGCTGAATATATACATGTTAGTATGCAATGGATACAAATTACAAATGCATTTTTTCTCACCTGAATGTCTGCTGTGCGGTGGTTGCAGAGTTCGAGCCGTACTCGCCGTACACGAGCGACGACGAGCCGGCGACGCGCCAGCCGCCGCCACCGACTCCACCACCGCCGCCGCCGCCGCCGCCCCCGCCCGCGGCCATCTTCCACGAGGCACCGCTGGCGCCGCCGGCCAGCTCGCGACCCAGCCGGCCCCGGCCCCGGCGGCAGCCGCAGAACGAAGGTAGGTCACTGCCTGGAGGCTCCTCTTCAAAACATATTCAACTGTAAATATTTAGAAAAGATAGGTAATATTTCGAATTCATAGAACATGACCACCCGCGACCGCCTGGGGGGTCGGATCCGACCCCCCCCCCTCCGTTTTTCTTGAATAACTCATGAACCGCTTACGCTATCTACATGAAACTTGGCACACCTTCTCCCCCATCAATTTGACGTCTTCTGTGCAATTTTTAAGAAAAAAATTTCAACTTTTTTTTAGATATATCGATTTTAGTGATGCAAATACATGGCGTTTTCTGTCAAAAAGTGGTAAATGTTTAAAAAATCGCCAAAAAATCGAGGTTTAAAGCAAATTGCTAATTAAGGACATGAAAAGATGCAGCTCAACAAGTTCTTTAAAATGGCTATCTCGGATTTTCCATAAAATGCGTTTTTCACCCCTAAAAATTCAAAAAACTATATTTTTTGGAAAACAGCTAATCAAATCCAAAATTTTGGGAATTTCAAAAAAACCGGAATATGTGTTATAGAGCTCTATTAGAACATTAGATGTCCCAAATTTCAACTTTCTATCTTGATTTTTGACCCCCAAATTGTAAAAAATAGCTCCAACATGCATAGGGCATGGTGACGTCATAAGCATTTTCGTGAATTAGAGGCACTTCTGAACATCGCATGTAAAAACAAATGGCACCACTAGATTCCTGGGACAAAGCTCGTCTAGAAAAGTGCATTTTTATGTCAAAAATAAAAAGTTGAAAAATTGACTTTTTTTCTTAGCCCTCGTTTAGTTATGTATGGTATAAACGATTTTTTATGCTTTCAATGCACACTTATCACCAGCACAGTGACTTGGGGGTCACATATAACCATTACCATCGGATTTGGCGTGAAAAATAAGCCATAAAACATGTGTCGCACGCCCATGTAGCAGAAAGTGAAAACCGTGACCTATCGTGACCTGACCTGACCTTGACCCGTACTTAGTATGACCCTTATACGCACATGGTACCTTCACTAGGCCTTTGACGTCATTTTTGGTGAGTTTCGAGCAGCAGCTATGGATTCCGCTGTCCGTAAGCCTAATCATGCAAAACCCCTGAATTTGACCTTTGACCTGACCTTGACCCGAAAGTTGACCTCAATATTAAAATCTTAAGAGTGCTTTGGGAAGGTCTCCTCGCGGGGCTCGATACGACCATTGGTTCTCGAGATAACAGGGGGGGGGGTCGGATCCGACCCCCCCCCCCCCCAGGCTGTCGTGGGTACGGAAATAGCCCAGGCGGTGCCGGGTTAAAAACATGTAGCCACTCACATAAAAGGACTGTGCTACAATAAATATCCATTTTCTGGTCGTGATAAGTCAGAGGCAGCTAGACCCAGATTACTTCATCACATGAATAAGCCACATCGTTACGTGTGTTCCCGTGTGTTCCGATAAGTCAGAGTTCCCCGTTGTGTCTCCAGTGTCGTCAGCATCGGACTTTGACGAGGAGCTGCGCTCCGTCATCGGAACATGGAGGACGAAGAAGAAGATCATCATACCCAAGACACCGGACGCTTCCCTCTACCAAAACTCGACTCCTGCTGAGGTTCAGGAGTGGCTCAAGATCAAGGGGTTTTCCGACAGGTATGCTATCATCTCCATTTTCAGTGAATGGTTAGTGAGTAGGTATGCATCGTATATTATCCTAAATAATCAATAGTTGATGTTCAGGATGCGCTAAGCACCCTACTATATAGGTATGTAGTTTGTTTAAATGGACCAAAACTGCGTAAATCGGGGTAAACCTCATAGCTCGTGACGTTTTTGTGCCAATAAAAACTTGCAGGGAAAGGTTTCTGATGAATCGGGCATGCTCTCGCCATAGTGTGATAAATAACACTAGGTGTAATAAATGCTATTTATTATGTACACTATGCTCCCGCTATGCTCCCGCATAATGCGCTGTGCTCAACTATCAACATCACACTTCGCATGTGTTCGATCTGGTGAAATGTTCAAGCTAATTTGTAAATTTCCTTGATCCATCATCATTATCTTGATTAAACACTGTGTCTGGTTTCTCTTAAACTTAAACCGTGATAAGTGTCGTGCATTAATATTGTTTACAGGGTCCGCAAGGCACTGAAGGATTCGAAAGGAGAAAAACTTTTCCGGTTGGAGAAGCCCAGGCTAGTCAAACTTTTCGGCAAAGAAGAGGGAGGGAGACTTTATTCACAGATCACTGTCCAGAAGAAAAATAATGGGGTAAGTAATAACTTGCATTGACTAGAATTTTATACAGTTATCAAGACGTCACGAGAAGCATTTCATATGTATTTTATGCATTTAAGACGAATCAGCTATACCTACTCTAAGCTTTGATTTTAAGTCTCGTCAATCTATAATAAACGTCAACCGATCGTCATGAAGCACGTCTCTGAAGCCATGGCGTAGTTAGGTCTTGGCTCAGCCTTAACGGTTACCTAGCAGATCCTGTCGCTCATGCAGACCAACCCACACTGCCTCTCAAACCCACGCCCCTGGTCTCTCGCAGTTCAACACCACCAGAAACGACGACATGTTGATGAGGAAGATGGAGGAGAGACGCGAGAAGATCAACAGCAACACCGACGACGCCATCGGCGACCTCAACCGCTGCATCGGCGGCGACAGCGACAGCGGCGACAGCAGTGACGAGAAGACCATCAAGTCGTCGCCGCCGACGGTGCGCCGCGTGTCGCCCTCGGCCGCGGGGCGCGCGGGGAGGGCGTCCGGCCCGGCCCCGGCCCCGCCGCAGCCCGAAAAGTCGGCCGCCAACGGCCACAAGCCGCGCAAACCGGCGCCCCAGGCCTCCTCGCCGCCCAAACAGCGCCAGTCGCTCGACTCAGGTGGGTGCTGCTAACTCTCAGATGGGTTCTGCCTACTCTCAGGTTAGTCTTGCTGCTGCTTCCTCTCAGGTGGGGCAGCTACAGCTGCGGCTACCTTCTCTCAGTAGAGTATTCCAAACTTTCAGATTGGTGCCTCAAACTCTCAGGTGGATGCTGTCTCCTCTCAAGTGGTTTCTGCTTACCCTCAGGCTGGTGCCCTTAGCCGTTTGCTGGATCAACGATGGTGCAGCAAACGACGTGACGCCTCGATCCAGACCGCAACGGTGTGTGCAGCAGTTTGAGTCTGGCGCAGCAGCTTTGGTCTAGCGCAGCAGTCTGGTGCAGCCGTGCAGCACTTGTCCACGCTCTGTCTCGATCAGTCTGGTTTTACTGACCCTTTGTTATACCGGTTCGCTACCGCTGACATTCCTCCTGGTTCCCGCAGTGTTCTCGCGTGACTCCACCGGCGGGGATTCGGACGCCGAGTCCGTGGACTCGATGGAGTCGAGCAGCACTCTGAGGGCCAACATCGAGATGCAGCGTCACCAGTTGGCGATGCGGGCCAACAGGGCCTTCCTGCCGGCCCTCTAGCTCGGCACAGCGCGGCGCGGCAGGGCGGTCGTGACCGCCAGGGCAGATGTGAACTCCGTGTATGGTTACTCATTCGAAGCCATCTCTACCAGACATACCAGACAGAGTGTAGTTTGAGATGGCCCATATAGACTTAAGCTTAGCAAGGAAACGCAAACCGCATCAAATGGTCGCTAAAACTAATAAGGAAAGGAAAATGTGCGAAAAAAGCGACATTTGGTACCCCATATCGGAGGGCCATAAGTGATTGTTAATGTACACCCCTCAGCAGACTGCGTGGTAGGTATTCTTTTTCGACAAAACCGGTATGTTATCAATCGGTTGGAACTCACTGCAAATAAATGCGCCATGCTCCACTACTTCGATTGGGTCTATCACTAAACAAAGTATACGCCTTGTGTGGCAACAAAATGCAAAACTTTGTTTTGGGGGCATATACACACTTTTCGGTTTTGTTGCCAAACTGGGTGGAAAATGAATACGATGATAAAGCCAATCTAGGGTGCAGAGTCTCGCGCGTCTTGCTGTTACGATTTCTGAGTGACCGATAGCATAGTGTTCGTGTTATTCTCAGTTTTGACAAAAAAAAACCTACCACGCAGTTTGCAGAGGACTGTACATATGCTTAACAATACCTGACACGGTTTACACGCACATTTGATCATAAAAGCGTGTTTTTTAGTTTTTTCTTGGGCAGATTCTAGCAAACATAATGATTATATTGTATAAAATAAGTCTATGGATAATGTGCATATAACACAATTATCACCTTAGCTCCAGTTATGCCCGATTAAAATGGTTGAAATAAGCAGCATTATCAACCGAGCCACTGAAATGAGACCTCTAGGCCGTTGGTGAAAGAGCATACCTACAGCCGCAGCATATCCGGCCGGCACAGCCGGCGGTGGACTGTCTAATATGAGCAGTTTCTTGGAACCCGGCACCACACATCTGCGGGCAAGCACCGACGGTCTCTGTACTTTGCGTGACCATAACAAGCCATGAGGAGAAGGCAAATTAAAGTTTTTATATATACTTAAGCTGGCGAAATTCAACGTGTAAAAAGTGACCGTCTGGAGAGGAGAGAGTGCTAGTAAAACTCACAGGCCTTAAATCACAAATACGTACAGAGCTATCACGGTATGAAAAAAGTATTTTGTACTCGGGTTATGTTTGGCCATAGACTACATACTCTATCAGTAATACCATACGTAATACAGTTGTTTATAGTTTGGTGATAGGTAAGTACTTATATCAGATCAGGTCAAAGTGATCTGAAATAGACGCGCGCCAATAACATGACGCAAAATAGAAATGAAATAGAGCAAAAGGACAAGCTCAACGTTCACATGAATCGGGAAAGCATTTTCGCTATGGGAGACTACGTCCAGAGTCTCGGGACCCTAGACTCCCAATTTCCAGCAGTATCACCGCTCCACCAAAAGAGCAGCCCATAAAACTTCATCGCACCATAAAACCAGCAATGTAATGCGGACCATCAACGTGCTATTAGCTGGACGGCAATCACTTTCACACTTCCGATCTTCTCGACTCTCTTTATGTAGTTGCGCTCGACTTCCCGAGCACATTTTCGGTTTCTACAGCCTCCTTTTCATCGCAGCGACTGTTCTGGATGACATCGCAGCATGCAGCGCTGATAAATGGCGTGACTGTGTTGACAGAGGTGGCAAATATTGGTCATGGAGGCCGCACCTCATAAACCCGGCTGGCGGTCGGCGAGCCTCCGCGCCGGCCGAGTTATGAGGCGGCGTCTCTCCGAACGGCCGCTCTCACTCAGACGGATCGCCAGCGGTCCGAGGACAGTGACAGCGGACAGGCGGAGAACAATAGGGCCCACTGACGTCCGGCCGGACATACATCAACAGAAGGTCCGCGCTGGCACCGCTCCCGGCGCGACTGACACTGCCCTCTCACCGCCCGACACGGCGCCGCCATCGCCGCCAGCGCCTCCCGGCCGCCGCAGCCTGTCTGCAGGGCTGCCGCAGCGGAGCGCCACCGCACTGACACAGCTTCCCTGGCTATTACTGGTTATTACTGGTCCTGATCCAGCTTCCCAGGAGCTTCCCTGGGTGATCAAACATATTCCCCGGACACAAACAGTGTCCGAGACGAACCGAAGAATCTCTCTCCCTCTCTCTTCCTCTCTCTCTCTCTCTCTCTCTCTCTCTCTCTCTCTCTCTCTCTCTCTCTCTCTCTCTCTCTCTTTCTCCCTATGTTTAACTCTCAGCGGCCGCAAACGACCAGCACCCCGCGGCGGATCAGTTTGCTTCCATCTGCGTTTTGTCGACCCGGCGGCTGCGCCAATCGCGCCAGCCGCGACAAAGGGAGAGCACGCCTGGACGATAACCACATCACTGGAGGCGGTTGAAGCGCCGAACCGCCGTGATTCTGTCGCGCCGTCATCAGAGGGGGAGGGGGAGGGGAAGGACGGGGAGATGGCTGCCGATGAGGGTGGTGGGCGGCTCAGTCTCGGCTCAGTTCACCATCTAATGTAGGTAACGGGACTCGCAGAGACCGCATTTGGTGGAGGGTCTCCACGGATCACCACGTGGTGGGAGGGTCTCCACAGATAGGTGATGGGAAGGTCTTGTTGACGAAGATTGGGGTCACGGCCGGTCGTGGGCCATCAATTGAAGTGTATTTCGTCACCATCATCGTGAGCTTATCTTACCTTGCTCCTTAATCCACAGAAATATACTCCGCTGTGAACTCTTACCCTGCTCAGATCTGACGGGCTGAGGCAGAAGGCAAAGAGAAGGTTTCGTTAGAAGTCTCTCTAAAAGATAATTCTGCAGATACAGTTCATCCCTGGCGTTTTAAACTATGAAACAGCCACAAAGTCCCGGATAATTGCAGGGTCAAGTATTTTTGGTTTCTTTTATAAACACTCGAGCCGCGAGCGTTCCTAAATCCTAGGTTCCGGCGATAATTATCCCAAATACGGCGGAAACAGCTAAAGCTCTAAGTGCTGATATGGGCAGAACACACGCTCAAAATCGATCTTGAGTTGATTGGGCCGATCGATAATCTGCCAGCATAAGCAGGACTGTATCCAAAGCCAGCTGATCGGTAACCGAGACGGACCGTGTCCAGTCGAGTAGTTACATAGCTCCGGAGCTGAGCTCACCAATTTTTGACAGACATTTGACGGAGGCAGCAACTTCGCAACGAGTTTTATATTTCACCGGATGTGATGCATTAATCCTGAAAACTTTGCGATTGAAAAGATAACATAAATAATAATTGGAACCGGAGTGCGAAATTGTTTTAGTCTTAAATGTCACTGGGTTTACTGCCGAAAGGTGTATGATTGTACATCCTTCATCGGTGCTTTTTCTAACAAGCTGCTTATGCCAAAAAAGATAATCAAAGAGAACCATTTGCAAATGCAGAAGAAGACAGCAGAGCACCGACACAATAGTCTGTCGGTGTAGTGTCACAGGGCCAAGAAGGTGGAGTTCAAAGACCACTCGCCACTCGCATCCTTTTCAGGTATTCAGAATCGGAAAGCCATTACAGTGCATTATAACACGACGCAACGACGATTAGACGCCGCGTCATCATCAGTCGCCGTGTTTTCAGTCGTTTTAGGCTAAAAGACATAATCCAGAGAAAGAGACAAAGCTGCCTCAAACTTGATGTCCACTGTTGATTGATTTACCTCAGGAGAGGTGAGAAAACAGGTGCATGTGAGGGCATTTTGAAATAGGAGTATCGATCACAAAATGGTCAACCTGTTAACTTATGTGGGGCATTCGGTAATATTCTTATCTTATGCACCATCGCTCCTTGTTTGATATGTAAGTTCCGATATCATATACCTACTTCTAATCAGCGGCTTTTTCTTACTTCTATGCCATGTTAAGTGTAAATCCTATTACACTCGAAAAAAATAGAAATTTAGTTTTAGTATTGATTAAGGGCAAAGCCACAAGTTAAAATAATTTGGTGCACGTTTTCTTCTGGCCAGTCATGACACACACCAATGCCCATGAGGCATGAGCTCCCTCAATATCCCGCTATAGCGTTACCGTCAGGGCGGCTTCCGGCTTCCTGGTTCCGGTCGGGGGCCATCATCTGGCGGTGCCGCTCTGTCTGCCCCCTCCCCCTCCCCCCCCCCCCCCACCTCCGTCGGATCGATCTGATGGGGTCGAGTGTCACCTCCGCTCCAAGGCGCGCGGATGCCAGCTCGGCGGTGGCGACACAGGCCCGCAAACAATGTCCGCACGACCGGCATGCCAACGCTGACAGCATCGTCCAATATGCTGTTTGTTTGAGTGGGAGGAGATGTCATCATGCCTAGCCATCAAGGCGCTGTTGAACAACTGCTGTTGTTAAGTATTCTGCTTGTGTATGAGTAATCAGAATTCAGAACAAAACACGACCACAATTAAGATAACTGGCAATGGCAAACAATGAGAAGGGCAAAGTAATATTTTGGAGCAAAAAGTGAATACGCTGGCTCATAGACCACTATGCTGGCTTTCTGAAAAGAGACCATAAGCTTTGCCCGTCCTCAAAGGAGAAAGACATGAATTCTGATTTCATTGCCTCAGCTCTGACTGAAGAAAACAAAACCCAAGTAGCGGGTAGATGACATGGACAATGAGTAAAATACCCATAACGCCACCATATTTTATTATTCAGGGCTAAATCTCCTTACCTATCGGTAGGTTTTCACTAGAAGTGCTATTTAACGCCCAATAACGCAACAGTGTTTCAGCAATCCTTAACCCGCGCTGGTGGGGGTGGTGCTATTTTTTGCCCCCTCCATATTTTTCGATATATCTCCAAAATCACTGCGCTGATCGTCACCAAACTTTCAGTACTCTTGTGCATCAAATTTACACATTGTGACCAAAAGCTTTTCCAAAGGCTATGATAGGTTGGCCGCAAATGACGTCAGAGAGACGTCATGCCTGCCAATTTCGATATGTGCTAGTCCTAACCGACTTTTACTCAAATGCCAAATTTAAGATCGATACCTCTTTTTGGCCAAGTTATAGCAAAAAAAAACTGTTCAAATTGATGACGGAAAATTTCCAAACTCATTTTTAGCAATGCTAGACCACGTAGCGCAAAACAAGGACCACCATTGCAGGGTGTCCCAGAATTACCCGAACATTTATTTTCTGGCTAAAAGAACGATTGCGCTCGATTCTAATGATATACAAGCCTCATGCTTTTATAAGATATCCCTTAGCTATCGAGCTTGGGGACTGTGTGCTTTTGATGACCGGTCATGACTCGAGTCAATTATTATCCAGAGTCAAGTAAGAGTAGTCCTTTTCCGTTTTCAGCTTAAGCCACTAATAGGCAACCTGATGGTGAATCAACTCCCGTTCTCAACTTTGTAAACGGACTTTCGGCGTGTTTTTTGCTGGAGAGCTTCAGCAGCTCATCTGCAAGCAGTTAGGATTGAGCAAAGCGCAATTATATCAGCTAACGAAGCCAGAGAAAGCAAGAGATGAACATGATTGACAAGCTTGGGCTCGGCAAAAAAGGGCCATGCACCAGTTGTCAAACGGGTGGTTGCTTGTCATGGACAACAAACGTCATCGAGCTAGCTAAAAACTAGCTAAACGATAGATCAGGATTATCTACAAAACATCAGTCTATTTTGCACCACTATCTTTGACAAAATTTTGGAATTTGGGGTCCTTCGTCTAAAAAATATGCCAAAACTACGGGAAAAGCAGCGCAAATCGCTACAATTCATCCCAAAAACATAACATATACAACACAAAAGTAT